TCTGCCGTTCTGGGAGTCCCGTGAGCCAGAGTAACTCCTTGTCCCTGCCCCAGAACCTACCCCAACCCGGGCCCGCCGCCCTGGGTCGCCGGCCCGGCCCATCCACGCCCGCTCCGGGCCGCCCTGGCGTTCCCCGGCCGCTTCCTTCCCGCGGGCCCGGCCTGGGTCGGGAGTTGGCGAGGTGGGCCGGCGCCCGCTAGGAAGTTGGAGTCTTTTGTGCTCGCGCCCCGCCCCGCAAGGGGAGGAGGGGGAATTGGAGGCCGCGCGGGGGAGGCCCCCGGCGGGCCCGGCCCGGCCCCGGGCTTCTTTAGGCGTTCCCTCCCGGGCTGGGTCTGCGGGCTCCCGCAGGCGCGCACAACTGGTCCTGCCTCCGTCCCCACAAGCCTGGGCGCCTTCTCGGCCCCCACTTATGCGGGTCCTGGGCTCGTTGCACACCTTGTTCCTCGAGAGGATCAACCACCGGTCCTAAAGCCGGGTCTGTGATCCGCACCTAACGCCGCCCCCTTCGCAGGCGAGCCTCAGTTTGCCCCTCCGAGAAATGGAGGAAAGATAGAAAGTCGCCTCGAAGGGTGTTTGTAGGCTCCGGGAGGGAAACTAGTATGTGAGAGAAATGTTTAATACCAACAGGTAATATTTAATGGACTTGACTCAGGAACTTCACAAGTCTTATTTAATGCTCATGGCGGCCTTCTGGGGTTATCCCCAATACACACGCAGAAATCAAGGCGTAGAGAGGTTAAATAATTTGCTTCAAAACAGTTAATAGCCACGTAAGTGTAAAGCCGTGGTGCTAGTACCTGTTTTTATTAGTGTGAGCCTCTGCAATCTCTTTGTGCAGAGGGGATTTGACTTAACCTTTGGGTCACGCCCTTAAACACATAACTCCGTTCTCCCTGGATCCTGGGCCAGTGTCCACTATGCTATGGATGGAACCCCATTTTGGGGCTACTGAAAGTCCAAGGGAAATGGAAGTGGCTATGAAATTTTTCCCTAGTAGTGCCCATTAGAAGTTGATGGATGCGGAAGACTTCAGATTTGAAGCACACTGAAGTTCCATGGGTTTTTGGCTCAAGGAAAGCTTAAGTCATTATGAACAGTGAGGTCCATCCTTTATTTATGGCATGTTCATCCCCCCAAACCTTGCATGTTCTCTGTGGCGTGTAGATGTATAGCTCCTGGGGGGCCAGGAAGTGGCTAAAGTCAACTACTTCAGCTCCCTGCCTTCAAATAGGGTTTTGTTTCTTCTATTTTCAGATAAGCCCCAGAGGGGTAAAAGTGAACTAAAATTAACTTTGGCAAGTGTTCCAGTTTTTCAATGTGTTTGATCCTGGTGTTGGGAGTGTCTAAAAATCAGGTGGGGCAGTTCCTAGGCCAGGTCTTGAGGAGTCTCTTGATGTTTGCATTAGTTCTTTGGAGCCTGGAGGTTTGCTGTGCTCACCCTTTCCAATATTCTGGATTTAGGAGTTGTGGTGTGTAGGAGCTGGAAGGGGTCTTATAGATCATCTGGTACAACTTTTTAATCTGTTCCCCCTCCCTTTTAACTGAACTTCGGAAAGGGAAAGTAAATCTAAATTCACAGACTGCCTTAGTGACAGAATTAGAACTAAAATTCCCAATCTTCTGCTTTTCAGTCCAGTAATATTTTTATTTCTACCATACCTTGCTACCTTTTGAAAGGGCACTACACTACTTAGGCAGGCCTTAAGACCAGGAATCCTGAGTACATTGAAATCGCAAAGTTTAGTCCCAGCTGCTCCACGCCCAGGGTAAGCATTAGAAGGAGACCAGGTTTTGTGCACTGATAGGGTAGTTCCCGTAAGCCACTACTTTTATTGTCTAGTACTTTATAGCACTCTTCTGTAACTATTGTCTGATTTCATTTCTAATCCAGTCCTATGAGGGAGTTAAGAATTTTTACAGCTATCATTGAGAATTGAGAACAGAGCAAGGTAAGGGCACACTGCCTTACTTAGATCACCGAATTAATAAGTGGTGAGGACAGGACAGACACCTCTCCTAGGCAGAGGATTTGATGTAAAATCATCTGAGCCTCTCATTGTGGCTCTCTGAGCCTCAATTTCCTTATCCATGAACTTTCACATGGCTGCGTAGGGACTATGAAAAATGGCTGGGAAAGTGCATTGTAGTAGTTGTGAGTTAGTAGGAATAGTAGCTAATATTTATTAAGTTATTACCATGTCCCAGTCACTGGACTAAGGACATTCTGTGAGTATCTCATTTAGTTCTTAGAGGAACTGTGTGAGTTAGGTGTTATTATCCCTGTTTTACAGAAGAAGAAACAGACTTAGAGAGGTTACATGACTTTCTCAGGATCATGTACTTGGTAAGTGCAAACAATAACTTTAAAGCTGGTGTACTTTATTTTCTGAAAATATACATAAGATAAAATTTACCATTTTAACCACTTAAATGTACAGTTCTGTGGCATTAAGTACGTTTACATTGTGGTGCAACCAGCACCACCATCCATCTAGAATTTTTTTGTCTTCCCCAATTGAAACTGTACTCATCAAACACTAACTCCCTATTCCCCTCTCCCCCCAGCTCCTGGCAGCCACCATTCTGTTTTCTGTTTAGGAATTTGACTGCTCTAGGTACCTCGTATAAGTAGAATCTTTGTCCCTTTTGACTGGCAAAGCTGGTCCTCTTAGTGCTTCCCTTAACCTCAGGGTGCTCTGTAAATGCACAATGATCATTAGTCCGAATGTGAGTAGGTGTGGCGCGCAGCCCCAGAGCAGGAGCCTGGGCCTGGTTGCAACCCTGGTTGAGCTTCCTCCTGCTTTTCCTCCCACTCTGTGCATTGAAGTTCATTATCACTGAAGCGTTTTTGAGATTTCTACTCGCCCCTTCTTTATCTTCCAAAGAGACCTCCTACCCTTGAAATAGAACAAGAGGGCTCTGCCCTTGCTTTGTTTGCACCTGCCTTTCTGGCTATCCAAGGTTTGGGCATATGGATAGGGCTGCAGTGACCAGGAATAGCAGTGTTATGACAGCAGTTGGGATCAGAACTACTCAGGACAATTAAATGGATTACCTTTATGAAATGTTCCCTCTTTGTGCTCTCTTTCCATAAAGGCACACAAGAGGAATTAGCTTTTGGTGGTTTCTAGAGGGTGTTTATGGATCTTCATTGCATGGTTAAGATGGAGTTAAATGCCATATTTAGCCTCCTGAAATTCCTTGTTTCTGTGTCTATGTGTTTGTGGTGGGATGTGGTGTTTATGTTTGTGGAGGGTAGTTGGAATTTTGTCCTGATACCAGCGGGGGCGGGGGGTTGTGTGAGGTGTTTTAGAGGTGGGTAAAAGGGCATCAAACAGATCTAAGCATATTGCGCTTTCCTTAAAAAATCTAATGGCCCAACATTTCCTCCCTATTAAAGTCCAAGCCCCTAAGTGGGATAATGAGGTCAGAGTGAGCTGAATTGTTTATTGGATAGCATTTTGGAATTCAGGAACTTTAAAGTCATGTTCGCCAGCCAGCCACCTGGCCAACATTTGGATTGGCTATCTGTTGAGATTCTTTTTTATTGGGCGCATCTCGTTATTGGAAAGTTTTCTATTTACTGAACAATTATTAAGCATGCCACACATGGTACTTAAGCTTGGGGATTTGGGTATATACAGCCTGGTGGGGAATACAGGCAAGGAAACAGGCAGTATGAAAAGTATTTTAACAGGGACAAGCACCATGAAAGCACAGAGGAATGGTAGCTAACTCAGCCTTGGAGGGTCAGGGAAGGCTTTCTCAGAGAAGTTGGCTAAGCCTAGACCTCAGGAAAAGAGATGGGGAGTCAAGGAGGAGACATAAGACTGTTCTAGACAGAAGGAATAGCAAGTCTAGAGATGGTAGTGGTAATAGGTGAGACTTTTTGCCCCTTTATATATGTACCAGGTACTATTCTAAGCATTTAACATGTGTTAACTCATTTCTTCTCATTACCTTGAGAGGTACAGTATCTACTATTATTATTCCCATTTTGTAGGTAAAGAAATAGACCTACAAATAAGTTTCTCAAGATTCCTGGGTGAAGCATAAGGCGTGAAATGGTAATTGTGGCAAGAGATGAAACTGGCAAGATAGGGAGAACAGAGGCCAAGTTATGAAAGGGTCTTGTAGCCTGGGTTGAGGAGTTTGGACTGTATTTCAAGGTGAGGGGGCCATGGTCCTTAGTGCATTTTAGAAAGATAACTCTGGTTACCTATTTGGGAGTGAATTTGCGGGCTAAAGCACCGTAGGCAAAGAGACCAGTTAGGAGTAATAGCAAGTTAGAGACCAGTTGCAGTAATAGCAAGCAAGAGGTGATGGTGTTTCAAATGAAGAGAGTGTGTGTGTGTGTGTGTGTGTGTGTGTGTGTTGGGGGTTGTAGGAAGAAAATGGAATTGAGTGATGAGAATCAAAGATTGTTGGTGTGGAGAGTAAGGAAGAAATCAAGGATGGCTTCTAGATTTCTACTTGGTGCAGTAATATACGTGGGAATGCTATTTATTGAGGTGAGGACATAGGAGAAGGAGCATGTAAGGGGGAGGTTTCTCATGCAGGTTCTTTTTACTGCTACCCTAGTTCTTCATGGGGAGGCCAGGGAGAGCACGAGTGAGGGAGAGTATGGCATAGCAAATCTACTCCTGGATAAACTATCCCTTGATAAACTGGATGATGTAAACACTAGTTTTGAAAGAATGGAAATATTAGATCCTAGACATCCAGGCCCTGCACAGCTCTGAAGACTGCTTATGTTAAGCCA